TTGATTGCATTTCTCTTCAATTGCCTTTGATTGCTTCCTTTTATGGAGATTTGTACAACTTCTCCAAACGTGTGATTGCCTTTCCTAGAAAGTTATTCAAATTATCTTTGATGTTTGTGAATAGCTTCATCAATAGTTAATTAAGCTGATAATGTTAGTCTAGGAGCACGCTGCATGAGATGAATGAGTGAAATTAGCAATATTCAAGAAATCAACTCCGTGTTTTAGCTGAGGAAGAACTCTAGTATAAGGATGGGTTGTCGATTGAGCATCCTCTACATGTGTATCTCTGATTGATGGTTGATCTTAGGGTAAATGAACCTTAACTCCTAACTCTAATATTTGTTGTTGAGCAACACGTAGAAAATAAAGAATCTCATTAGAGATTCCTCCATCCTTCGCAAGCAGTTCTCAAAAGGTAAAGTAGATACATTCTCACCAATAGGATGCATCATGCTACGGAAAAAATCAAAGGCTTGACGTCATGTACCTTGAGATTGTGTCCGAAAATGATGGGTGTTAAAACATGAAGCTTTTTACACATTTTAGCCATTTATATAATATAAACTTTTATTAAAGAGAATTTGTTTCCCAAATAGGGCGCCAAACTATCGTGTGCCAAAAAAATCATGACATTAGAGTAATAATTTAACGTCTCAACATTATACAAAAATCCAAGTCATACACAGATATTGAATAGCAATTGAAATTCCCATAAAGGAAAAAAACCACGGGTCACTCAACAAAATGATCCACTATAAGTTTACAAGTATAAATTTAAACCCTTATCTTACAACTGAGAAACAGTTTTTTGTACACAATATACATAAAAAGTTATTGTACTTTGAATACAACAATTGATAATACTTTCCATCGTGAGTTATAGCCTGATTATTACTATGTTTGAGTTACATCATTGTGTAGTATTTGTGATACTTTGTTACTCAACATAGTTCTTTATTACGTAACATGATAGTTTGTTACTCCATCAAATAAGTAGTTACTTAATAGGATACTTCATTAATCAATAAGATACTTTGTTACTCAATAGAGTACTTTGTTACTCCATAGGATACTTCGCTATTAAAAAGAGTACTTCATTTCTCAAAAGAGAACTTTGTTATACAACAAAGTCCACCAACAGTGGTAAGTTGAAGGTAATCGACAGCAATTGACGGTGGTTGACATGTGATAGTTGATGGTGGTCTGCGGTTATGAAGGTCTGAATATATCGCTCGGTCTGAAGTCCAGAAAATTGCTGGAATTAGGCTTCCCTTCTCCTTCTCTCCCTCAAGTCAAGAGAATGGGTCAATTTATGGGAATTAGGGGAGGGGAGTTTTAGTCATTCAACAAATAACTCCCATAATCAGCTTATTGAACAACTCATATTGATTCCACCTAATCATTGAGGTTTTTTAATAGTTTGAGACTTTAATGACCTCAGTATTAAGAAAGCTTAGGCTTATTGGATTCCTCTCGTCAAGATGCTCGATTTGACTTTATGTACTTAAATTTGGATTTGACATTCCAACCAACCAACCACCCAAAGCCTCCAAATGTTGTTCAATGGCTTGATCCGGGCTTGATTGTACTCAAATTGGATCAATTTTGGTATCATCATGTTCGTCTTGTCTAGACGGTCAGTTTGACTATAAGGTTGTAGAAATCGGATCCCTGGATAATTTAATTTGAATTTGAATATTTTTTGCTCAAAAAATGCCCTTGAGATCATTGTCAAATGCCTCGAGATCAGTTTCAAATGATAAATTTAGTTGATGACTCATAAAAAAAGATATGAGGAAGAGAGAAGGTAAAGAGATTAAGAAGCTCTTGTAGCAAATGATAAAAAAGAAGTAGCCGCATAAATGTCTTATTCTACTCTACTAGCCCTCATCTTCACGCGCGCATTTTCTGTCCGGACACCTGACGCACCTCTACGTGCGGTGCAGATTATTCTTGAGTTATTTTCAGGTCATTTCTGGGTTATTTTCAATAATCCCGAAATAATCCAGAAATAACCCAAAAATAAAGACCGCGTGTTATTTTTGGGTTATTTCGGGATTATTGAAAAATAACCCAGAAATAACATGAAAATAACTCAGAAATACCCTGCGCCGCACGTAGAGCTACGTCAAGAGTCCGCACAGAAAAATTTTTGCATCTTCACAATAAGATTCTGTCCCCTAGAAGTTGTTAACATTATCAAAATTGTATTTTTATATAGATGAAGCGCAATCTACTCTGTATCCCTTTTTTAAGGCTTAGTGTGATGTTGGATCTGTATACAACCATGGATACAGACGAGTCTCATCCAACAATATAAAATTTGTATTTTGTTTGAGATTTTTTTTTTGTAGTTATTCTGTTCATCCCTTAATCTTTGCTCAAAGTTTCATTACTATCCTAATTAACCTAAGATAATTTCCATGCACATCATTTTATATAGAACAATGACTTCTTCACACATGCAAACATATAAATTTATAGGCGAGGACATTTATACATAAATACATCTAAATTTAGGGTATGTTTGGGGCAGCTGCAGCTTATTAAATAATCTGCTGATAAGTTAATTAAAAATAATATGCTAATAAGCTAGGTGCGGTGGCTATTAGGAATTTTTTTTTTTTTTTTGGAAAAACCAGACCGCTGCAAGAAAGCTGTCGCCGCACAAAACGCATAAGCTGTCAAAACGTAGTTTACCCAAACAGTCCAGACGTGTTTTTAAAACTCTATTGCACCAAATAAGCTGCCTCAAACAGACCTAGTTTAATCTAATTCATAGCAAGATTATGCTCAAGCAATTCTGATACAAATCAATATAATCAAAACACACATTTCAAAGTCTTGATTCATGCACCCATCTATTTCAGATTTGGAGAAATTTCTTGGTACAATGTCATCATTTGAATTAGAGATAAGACTACTTATTACAAAAAAAAATATAAGGTGGAGATAAGACAAAGATCACATAAATCAAATGTGAACTTTTCACACATGCACGGCATTAATTTCGCTCCTTTGATTACTAGCAATCATGTTGGATTAACTTTTTGAATATTTTATACGGATGGACAAGACTTCTAGCCCACCATGAAGAGGAAAACTTCACTTATTTTTCCTTGTAGATTTGTATCATGGCATCACTTTTCTCACCAATAAAATGTGAGCTAGCTCATTCAATTATTAATTATTAAAAATATATAATCATCCTCACATGCACATAGATTGCAAATCTTATAGAAACTCAATTCATATATCTATGAATGTATATTTTAATCCTTATATAAAAAAAAATTATGCTTATATTTGATAAATAAGATTCAACTCTTTTTGCTTTGGCCAAGTTTTATTAGATGATGTACTCTTGGGCAAAGTAATTCAATCAGCTTAAACTCGGGATATTAAAGGGGTTAAGAGATTATATTCATAGACGATGTCTTGAATTGAAGATTTGAATACACTACATCTTAATGGCAACGTGATGGTTGCATTAGTGTTAATTGATTAAAAATTTGAGATTTTGATGAATGAGATTATGGCTACAAATTTTATTACCACTTCATTATATTCAATAAAGATAGGCTAATTTGGTTTACACTTTTTACATGAATCGACTCTTCTGTTTGAGATGAACATTTGAAGAAAATTTGCTTGTGAATGTCCTCTAGAGCAATGTTCCATCTCAGATGAGATAAACGTGCAAAATCTTATCTGTGGGTTGAAGTGCCACCAACACCTTTTTAGTTGTTAATTTACTCTAGTTGTTTGAAATTAAATATAGACTCCATTCTTTGAGTTGTCTTGAAGCAAGATTCACATAAAAAATGTTTGAACACAATGATTTAAACTTACTATAACTATCATGGCTATTCAATTAAAAATTAAAATGTCTTATATTTTAATAAAAAAAAGTTATTTTTTTTTTAAAATTAAATATTTATCTTTTGAGCCAATTGCTACTCAAAATTATTGTTTTACCAAATAAATACTATACGATATTGTTTGTGTTACACCCAATTTAATGGAGCATTGCATGGGATCAAGATGCCAAAATAAATTTTTATAGATTATTGAACAATAATAGGATATGACTAATAAGTTATTATACACAATATAGTTATAATTTATATATAAATTATAATATAATATAAACTATATATAATTATAATTATAAATTACTTTAGTATATAATAAATTCTATAATAACTATAGTAATTTATTTATATATAGTAAGCTACACAAGGATAGTATGTGTGTGTGTGTGTGTGTGTGTGTATATATATATATATATATATAGATATATATATATGTGTGTGTGTGTGTCGCGTACTCAGAACAGTTTGTAAGTCCCCTTTGGTCTGGAGTTTGATTTCCCCTGGTGGAGGGTGTGATACTCGAATCGTTAGGAGCATCTGGATGGCCGGGGCTCGTATAATAGCCTCAGGCCTTTCTTGTTGAAAATATATCTATCTATCTATTTATCTATCTATTATTAAGCTTAACATAAATCAAATCACTATAACTTATACTAATAAAAAGTAGTCATAATTTACCATCTACATTGAGCCAACTTTTCTTCTCATACAATTACATGGCAGACCAAAATCGCACAATCTATTATAAAACAAAATCAAAATTCATTTTCAATAATCACATCTTAAAAGTAAACCAACCATATCAGCATAACATATACTTTTACCATAAAACAGCACAAGAGTCAACGCCTTCAGCTCCACGCAGAATATTGCTGCCACCATCTCCTCTCCCGTTCTCAGCCACGTGTCATATTACAGAAAAGTATAGCCGATATCTACAGCTCCATCCGACCGTCAACAACCATTGTTGACTGGTACTTGTGCTGCAGAGAAAATTCAGAAGAATAAAATATAGTTCTTTCTAGTGTTGCCATCAATTCTAGCTCATTGAAGTGGATCAGATTTCATTTTGTATAAATGGTGCTGAAGATTTCATGTCTGAGAAACTATAATCTAGAGAGAGAGAGAGAGATGGGAAGGACTCCATGCTGCACGAAGGTGGGGCTACACCAAGGGCCATGGACATCACGAGAGGATGCTTTGCTCACCAGCTATATTAAGAACAATGGTGTAGGCAATTGGAAATCACTCCCTAAAAGGGCAGGTATATAGCTTATGCGATAAAATATTAGGTATGGAGTTTGCATGCATGCAGATATGTTACACTATTATCTGTGTATAATGATGTATAACATGATTGTACATAGAATCCGCATGCATACAAACTTAGATCTACATGCAATGTTCTCTTAGTTTACAGGCTTATTTTTCTCTCACACAAATGCAGCTTAATATTAGTTAGATGTTATATGCCACTGTGCGAGCTCGTTGTCAAATAATATGAGTTTCTGTCACTTGTTATTATATTTAAGAACATATAGATGAACTCATTTATTTTTTCATTTGATGAAGATAGGGATATGGCCTATAATAAATAATTTTATAATTAAATATATATTGAATAGTGCACATAAATTTTTATGAGGAACTTAACTGATAATCGTTCTATATTCACACTAATAAAAAAATTAACTTTTACATACATCAATTTTTTCAAATAAACATATGTTGAATCTGAATTTGTCATTGATTGATTAAGATCGGTACAGAAACCTTTTTGATGTACAACATAAATAATATTCAAAGATGTAATTGACCCTCTCTTTTTCTCATAATCATACACACGCTTGCAAAATTATTACTGTGAGGAGACCATGCAGCCTTACTTAATTTTGACAAAGAAAGACTAATATTTTAAAATAAATATAAAGCTCTCATAGCTTAGCCATGGCTATCATACATAGAAAATAAGTTTTCTTAGGATATCTAGAAAGCTAAAATTTGATTTTCAGCATGGTGGTTGTCAAACTCCCCAAAAGATATAGAATACATCAAGCATGGCAACAAATGAATGAATACATCAAGAGAAAAAGTTTCTTAGGAACAATTTCTGATTATTATATTAATGAATAAGCTTCAAGATAAAAATAATAAGGCTGAATTAAAATCAGGAGAGATGTAAAATAAAAGATGGATTCTTATCTTACTCTGTAAGAGGTTATTATAATATATAGGACAAATGAAGGTCATTTGGACATCTAGGCAAATAAATGCTGGATAGAAAACCACATTGCTCTTGAGAATAGCATTGGACAGCTATAAATATGATTTCATTTGAGGGCATTTTGGTCAACTATTCAAGCGGATAATCGCGCCACATAATCATTGAGATTTGTGCTCGACTATCATTGACCTAACAAAAGTATATGGTTCGATAAAGGCAATAAGCTTAACAGTAGTGCTAATGGTGACATGTATTAAACCTACAGAACTAATCAATTCCTGTCAATCATTTAAATCTAGGAGCATACCAACAAGTGGTATGTAAGTTTGAAGGAACATGCACCACCCTACCAAACTCTTTTTGTACATAAAATATCGCTAGTCTACACTCATCATGTGATGCCTGTGTTGAGAAATTAAGGCCAAGAAAGCACAAGAATCATCAAAATCAACAAGAAAACACAGAGATTTAATGAGGTTCTGCACTTTGTCTATGTCTTCGGGGCAGAGCGGCGGCTTCTTTAGATTTCACGAAAATGAGTATAAAACCCCCTTTAAGGTTACAATACAACATATATATATATATATATATATATATATACCGCTCCGCTGGCTATATATATTTTTATATAACTCTGACGTACAATATGTAATTACAAGATTATCTCTATACCGTACCGTGGGGGCGTTGCCCCCGCACCACCAACCCTTATAACGAAACTCTGTCTAATTGGACAGATGCTTTCGCTCGCTCCGTTCTATTACAACATCTATCCCTTATCTGGTACATGAGTCATACCTAACCTAACATAAAAAAAAGTACATACAAATAAAAGTCTATGCACCATATCATTTTACATGTGGATGTGTAGTGGCATTTAGTGCTACCAAATTTAATGTTCAACAACCACTGTTGATAACAGATAATATTACATATGATATGGTTAATGGTGTAGATGCATGCAACAAAAAAAAATAATACATAAAGACCTCCATGAATTTATACCATCATCCATAAACAAGTTGAACATATGCAATTTTTTCTCCTTTGATAGCCAGATGGCTTTGATTATTCAAATCTTGAATCATATTTCTAACTTTCATTTATGCTAATATTCAGGACTACTTAGGTGTGGAAAGAGTTGCAGATTAAGATGGATGAACTATATTAGACCCGACATTAAGCGTGGAAACATCAGCCCTGAAGAAGAAGATCTCATCATCCGCCTTCATACTTTGCTAGGAAATCGTTGGTCTCTCATCGCCGGCCGTCTTCCCGGCCGCACCGATAACGAGATCAAGAACTACTGGAATACCCATCTCAGCAAGAAGCTTAAGAATGAAGGCTTTGTCATAAGAGAAACAATCTCAAGACGACTTAAATCTTCGCAAAATCACAACTTCATGAAGATGACGAATAATAATAATAATAACAACAAAATCAATGAAAAGAAACCTACTGATGAGAAAGCTACAATGAGTAAAATCTATGCACCAAAGCCTACTAGAATTGAACCACGGTATAGCAACTATGTCATGAGTATTGTGACAGAAAGCAATGAAGAAACTCAAGGCACTGATGGAAGATTGGATGGTGGGGATGAGATCAGCAGTGGAGATTATCAAAATATTATATATGGTTCTGACAATGGAGAAGAAGCTAATTTTGTTGATGTGAATCATTACTTGGGTTCGGATTTGGATTTAGTAAATGGTGATTTATTCTTGCAAGATCATGAAGTGCTTGATAGAGTATACCAAGAGTACTTGGAGCTCTTGAATGTGTAAAAAGGTGAAAAGATTTAAATTATATATAGCGATCAAAGACTCGGTAATGGTGTAATGAGTGTTGTACATGTATCTTAGTACATATTTAATGGACAATTTCATCTTTAATATCTCCACCTTGTAGCTTAGAACAACTTGGCCTTCATACTAATGAAAGAGATTTATGTTGTGAAAGAAGTATACGTTAGATTTTCTTCCTTCAAGTTTGTTGTTAAAGTATGTTCTTTTTTATGATCTTTAGACTCAATACACCATCTTTTATACTCACTTATAAAATGAATTTTTATATGCATTTAGAATATTAGCTTCTTCTTTTTATGAAAATGGTGATTGATGAATATCATAGCACAAATTTTATAAAGGCAAAATTTAATCTCGCAATCTTGATAATAATTTTCAAGTTATATGGCACTAAAGGAACTTAGAAAAGTCAAGGTATACTTTGTCAATAGTAGATATTATATATATTTTTTTACTCGAGTGGATATCTGTGACAAATCTGATTTTTTTAAGACTAATAAGATTAATAAATGCTGTTTCCTCCAAAGACTATTTTATTTTGTATGAACGATTATTATTTTATCATCAAATTTATACATTTTTTTTTATTTCATAGTTTATTCAAGAGTAAAAAAGTTCAAAGAGTTTTTTATACCCAAATACGACCGTATACCCTAACAAAAATTTTTTAGGGATACTATATAATGAGACTTAATGGCTTCAAAGGCTTGTGCTTGAAAATTAAGTTATTCTGGATCTGAGCTCACCCCCACCTTCCAAATTTGTTAAAGTTAGCCCTCATGTTGAAGTGGTCAAACCAGCCCAAATTACCAAGGAAGACCATCGTTGCACATAAAGGCATGTGGCAATCCTCACTTATGGTACCTACTGACATCCATATCTCAATCTTTCACCAAGACATTGTTGACTGATTTGTATGGAATACAATTTTATATTTTGTTTCTCTCAAGTATAAAAGGTGGTTATAGGGGCTCTTAAAGAGGACTTCCTTTTCAGAACCTCCAAAAGATCTCTCTTTTTCTCTTCCCTCTGCCTCAACCCTCTTCTCTCTTTATGAGAGAAGCATAGATATTTCCATCATAATCATTACACCTTCCTCTTAAGGATAAGATTTTTATCAGGTTGTATGAACTCACGAACAATATGAAACCCTACGTCCTAAAAAGGATTCAACATCTTGAAAAGTACAGTAAGTGTGGAGTTCATACTCAAACTCAGCAAGAGAATCCCTCCAGCATAAGGAAGAGAATGAAATAATTAATTATACTGTAGAGTTCATGACGCGACAAATTAACAAGCTGAGGATATGACATCATTGGGGTCGGTGGTACATAGATGGGGGATATCAAGACATGAACCGTCGAGCAAGAGCAACCTAGATAGAATTTACCAAGGGCAAAATATATATGAGCCCTTGGTTAATAGCTAGAAGAAGAGGGAGAAAAAGAAGGGAAGAAACCTACAGCACGAAGTAGAACCTTCCAAATCCTCAGACGAATGGGTTATAAGAAGAAGAAGAAGAAGAAGAAGACAAAGAACATTAGAGCACACAAACTCGAAAGAGATTGTGGAAGTTAATTAAAGCACCAAGAAATTTTAAGATTCCTTCCTTGAAATCGTATAAAGGAAAGTCAGATCCTACTGATCAAGTATCTTCTTTTGAGTTATTTGTTTGTTTGTCAAGGATAAACAATGCCCTTATATGTTGTTTGGTTTTTATGATAATGAAAGAATCAGACTTGTGTTGGTTCAATAAGCTACTTGTAGGATTCATCTCCTCCTTTAGATAGTTCAAATGCATGTTCATAGCCCAATTCACCGGCACACAAAAGCTGTCAAAGAACTCTCAAGCTCTCCTAAAGATCGGTTAGGACCCCACAGAGAGACTTACTAGCTTCATTACATAATTTCAACTGCAGAAGTTGGACGTTCAAGACCTAAAACCTATTGATATGTGAGAATTATGCAATAAAAATTGTCTAATTCTGTTTAAAAGTTTTCATATAATTTGTTCTTCTTTATGTTTTTCTTAGTATTGTTATGTAAATTGTGAGATACAAGTACTTGTGAAAGCTCAGAAGATGCTCTAACATTTATTGGCAAGGAAAGAAGCTTGTAGGTTCAAATGGAGCTATAAGCACAAGACAATGGCAAGTTTTCATATAAATTGTTCTTCTTTATGTTTTTCTTGGTATTGTTATGTAAATTGTGAGATACAAGTACTTGTGAAAGCTCAGAAGATGCTCTAACATTTATTGGCAAGGAAAGAAGCTTGTAGGTTCAAATGGAGCTATAAGCACAAGACAATGACATTGGTACCTTAGGGCCATCCTTTCGGGCACTAGTGTTTTGGCGCCAAGGTGCCAAAGTACACCCCCCACCCCCACTCCAAGACATCCATTAAAGCTTATTAGCATTAATTATTGATGTCACATGTGTAGGGTGTCCACTTGAATGACCCAAAACTATTTACCATTTATTCATACTCACGTAGCTCAAGATATTCATATGTGCCTTTTAGTACGATTCGGGGCACAATGCTAGAGTCTGCAATGATTTAGCCTTGTCCGAGAGTCCACCGTTCGGTGGCATTATTTATGATATGAGCAGTGTTTGAGGTCCATTATAATGTTTGAATACATAAATATACCTATTCGGAGACTCTCGTGGTCAAATGAATTCGTCAAACCTTATCGTGAGCATTTCAAGGAATATTAATGTTTAAACGTCAAACCCGTGCGGTAATTTTTGGCATTGTTGGCATCAAATCTCCAATTTAAAGCCCATAAAAATGCTCATTTTTGAAGTGTGGGGACTTTATTTTAGTCATAATTAATCTCTCAAAGAATTTGGGTCACTAAAACCCTCCGTTGGACATTTTTCGCGAAAATCATGTTTTTTGGGCCAAATCGCCGCTTAGGCGCCAGCTCTCTAGCGCCCACGCTCCAGACCCGTCTACTAAAAGCCAGTCTCCCAAGCTTTCAAAATTAAGATCCTGCAAAGTAGGCACCAGCCCCCAAGTGTCTAAGCACCAAACCCAGTGCCCAAGGACCAGTCCATAAAAAGTAGGTGCCCGGAATAGCCCAGAAATGCCCGAAATTGAGAGTGCATAAAGTAGGTGCCTGAGACTAGTGGCTAGGTAGCAAGCCCAGTACTTAGGCACTGAGACCCAATGCCAGTGTGTCAGCCCAACATCTAGGCACCAGGGTCGTGACACCTAGGAGTTAGGCCATATTCCTCTCCATTTTTTCTCAAGATTCTCATTCGACACACCTCCCTAGGCAGCTGAAAAGTGCATATATGCCTTGGATATGGTGATATATACATGGGGAGGATCAGAAGCCACTATGAAACCCTTTTAGGGAAGCTTTCTCATTTTAGCAAAAGGGGGGGAGGGGGGGGGGAGAATTTGAGTTGTTGGCCTTTGGTCTCGTTTGGCTCCTTATAGAGCGCATACTCCAATATTTCCATCTTCTTCGTTGTCATTAGAGAGGAGAGAGTTGATCTTTGCAAGGTAGCTTCTTCTTCTTCTTCTTGCTATAGAGAGCTTGGAGGTCAGTTTCTTTTGAACTAAAGAGCTTGGTAGAAAGGTGAGGAAAGGGTTTGCACTTCCTACAGCTCTGTTCATCCTTTTCTTTTTCTTCTTCTTCTTCTTCTTCTTTTTCTTCTTCGTCTTCTTCTTCTTCTTCTTCATTTTCCACCAAGGGAAACTCTTCACCATTTTCATTTCTTTCTTCCTCCACAACTTTTCTTGAGTGTGTGAGGGATTTTTTATTGGAGAAAGTTCCTGAAGAAGCCATTGTTGGAGGCAAGGAGAGCATCGCCTTTCATATGATGAAGGAGAGTTTCTTCGCTCTTTGGGGAAGGAGTGGAAACCTGAGCTTGGAACTTTTCTAGAATCTCTTTGTAGAGGAGAGCTTCTCTGCTCTTTGAGGAAGGAGTAGAAGAAAGTTCACTGGAGCAACGTCGGAGAATGGACAACCAAAGATAATGCTAAGATCAACCATCATAGAGGTAAAATTTTTGAATCCTTTGCGGTTACGTTTCCTAGTGCCGCTGGGTTTGATTGTTAGAGGAAATAGGTTAGGGTTTTTGTGCTTAGATAAAAGGCCTAAAGGTTAAGTGCTTTGTGATTCCCTTCACGAATCCGAGCAATTTTTCTTTGAACCTTAGATCCAAAATCCTACAATAGACGAGGTTGTACTAATCTTGACTTTCTCTTAGTGGCTTCATATGGATGGACATTCGAAGCCGACCGTCCAAGAAGATGATGAAAATCTTTTGGTATTAATTTTCTTAATCGTATGGAATCCTCCTCATGAGGGACCCTCTACTTTACGTTAGGCAAATATAGGTGGGCATTTTGTTGCCTGAAGCAATTGGATGTTGGTACACCTCTCCAACGCAAACCCTAGTTCCTATGCGAGATAAATATGATGAGTTTGACGTGTCATCGAATGTAGTGAGCTATGTTGTTTTCATTGTCATTTGTCATGTATTGCATATTGCATGTTAATTGTGTGAGCACCTTAGTTTGATCACCACCACGACTTGATCGACCAATTCTTTTGGCACAATTTTTGTCCCAACTCGATCAATGAATCACTTTTGGTATGATCGAAAGCCTCGACTTCATCAAACAATCTCCTTTGGTCTAATTGGAAGCCCCAACCCGATCATCCAACCCCTTGGGTCCAATCGGCCGAACCAATTTGTCAACCCATCGCTTCAATTTGGTTGGCTATCCTCTACTAACTTCACTAGACCGATACACCCTTGTATGCTTGTTTTCATCGCGTTGCTTGTTTGGTTTGCTTTTGCATCCCTTTAAATGTGCATGAGAACCCTTTTGAGGCATTATGCTTGTCATATTTCATTGCATGTTGCATTGTTGTTTGCCTTGCATGCTTTTTAGCGTTTAACATGTTTGGGTGTCTCTTTGAACACTCTCACTTGCAAGGTCTCTTTGAGCACCTACACCTGAAAATATCTTTCTCACATACTCACTATATACATGAGGATAGATGCTTGCACACTTCATGAGGAGGTGGTCTACATATAAGGTCACCTATTGAACATGTCTCTTTCATGATAGTCGCGCTACTCCACTCCCTAAGACACCATTTAAGAGTGTCAGAGGTATTTCATGTTGTGCTTAGTACAATTCAAGTTTTTAGTCATTGACCTTGTGTGAGGCATAATGTGTGTCTACCTAGGTAGGTGATTCTCACTTGACATGAATCACACTACCAAATATGTTTGACACTTTGTATGTTGGATACTTGCCCTTCTGTCTTGGGTCTTGTTACTTTAATTGCATGTTTGAATGTGCTCATTTGGGTGTCTCTCGAGTAAGGAGTAATTTTTTTAGAGGTATCTTATACTCGATACAAACTAATCAGTAGCATTTGTCTGCTCATTACATGGCATTCGACTTAGGTTACCAGAGCTGACATAATTCATCTTTATATGCAACATGTACTAAGTATTACCACTTTGTATGTCATATGCATGTCAAATTCTTGCATTCATATTTGCATGATGTGTAACTCACATTTTGGCATTCATTGAGATTATTCATGCTTCATTCGAATAATCACAAAGTGTTTGGTTTTTTGCATGTTGTGTGTGCATCACTCATTTGTCTTGATAACAATTCCTACTATTTAGGATGATTGACATGTTTGTTGGTTGTAATACTTAAACGAGCATTATTCATGAGTATAGCTCATCAAGCAATGTGAGTTTTCATATTAAAATCAACTTGTGTATGACTGTGCTAATGTTCCAAGGGCTCTAAAGTACGACACTTGTATGTTACAGACCTGCTTTTAATTGTTCTATTTTGAAGTATAAAATGGATATTTTTTACTATGTATTATTCACTCTAATTTAAAACTTATTTAATTTAATTCAATGTAAGGTCACCTCTTTTTAAAATATCATCCCTAGTGACGTCTTTTAGATCCCTCGAATCATTGAATGAGGCCAGTGTGACGACCTCATAAAAATCATGCTCCAGGACTTTACCCCTATACTATGAACACAATTAAATGTTGTGATAGGACTCTATGCTAGATGGTATGCTAGGCAGTTTTTTCGATGTCCTGACTACAGTTCTCTGCTGGTTTGGTTGCCATAGCTAGCCATGACTACTGGGTTGCTTTGTGTGTTTACTATGTGTGAGACTTGCGCACTAATATGTTAGGGGTGGTCATTTTGCAGAGAACCATGTTCAATAGAGAGGAGTTATAATGATTTAAAGCTAACCTTTTGCTTGCAAGTGCTGTTTAGCTCTCCACCCATCGAGCATAGTTGAATATGTTGCATGTAGATAACTTTATTCTAACTTTATTTTCATACAGGTCGGCTCTTTTTTTTTACTTTATTTTGCACTTCTTAAAGTCCTAGGACAGAGTGTATCATAAATAAGATATGGTCACAGGTTCTAAGGTGCTTGAGGCATGAAAATATGTGGCGGGAACCAAGAGTAGATGCTCGTGTGTCGTAACATAGTTAGACATTTTTTTTTATGTATAACATTAGGATCATGCATGTATATGTGAAGTATGACAACCTTTTTTACTTTCTAGGATATGTTGTCGACTCAGCAGCACTTGGCCTGTTATTATTTTATTTTAACTTGCTTTACTTTCCTTGCACAGTGTGCTTTCCTTTTCATCATTATTTGATTGTGGTTTTTTAGGAACCTTGCATTATAACTTAGACTCTATAAGGACACTAACATTAAAATTAACTTTTCTACAAAAATCCTAATAAACATTAAGTCTAATAAAAAAAAAAGGTTAAAATATTTTAAGATTTTAAAACCTGCACATTACTTGTCTGCATGGCATTTGTGTCGGTTTAAAAATGGTTTGCATGGCATGGACACATCCCAAGCATATTAATAGGGCTTTCAAGCTTAGGACTAAATAATTGCATCATATTGCATGTCCCAAAGAGTAGTCATCGTGCTTCATCAACCTGACTGACCAAGCATAAGTTTTATACTTAGGCAGTTGTCTAACACGTCTAGGACCTAAATGGGATATAAGTCCTTTGTGGGAGTGTTTTCAGCTTTCTAGTTGAACCTCTCTTTTTCTCCCCTTTCTGGTGGTTTCCTCGCCATTTTGGCAAGTGTAATTCCCATCTCTGTGAGCTCTATATTTGTAAGGTCATAGGACTTAAAAGTTTCCTTCTTTTAAACTTAGGGTTACCAAGATCCCCCTAGATGACACAATTTATGAATTGCTGACAAGGGTTATCTAGTTGTGTTGGGTTGATTTTCTTCACGACTAGGTAGACTTAGGGTTTTAATAGCTTGGGATGACGAATCTGTAGTATTCTAACCCGACCATCTCCAACTAATTATGAATACTCTATCTCTCCTTTGTTGAGCCTTTTTGAGTAATGTCGTCCTTTTTGTGACTTTGTTAGTGTCGTCTCGTAGGCCTCATTTGTGAATAGCCTACCACCCATTTGTCATACGACGATTCACCCTTTACCCTTATGGTCTGGTTAAGCTCTAGAAGCATAATGTGGATCTTATAAGTTGATCTGGTTGTCTCGTAGCCCTAGTATGTCAATGAGTTGTTACCTATTTGGGATGTGAGAGACTCACTCTTTGCCTATGATTTTGTGAGAACTTTGAAATCATTGAGGTGTTCCTATGAAATAACCATCATTTTGGTGATTTATTTACCAATGATCATTTTGGTGATCTATTTGGGTGAACTCGAGTTAGGTCCAGTTGACCCGGTGCTTCAGTTGAATTAGGTTAACCCGAGTTAGGTCAGGTTCTCGGGTTAATCCAGTGATTCAGATGAATTGGGTTGACCCGAGTTAGGTCGATTTGACTCGACGATTCAGTTGAATAGGGTTAACGCGAGTTAGGTCGACTTGACCCGACGATTCAGTAGAATTGGGTGAACCAGAGTTAGGTCGACTTGACCCAGTAATTCAATTGACTTGGGCCTAAGTTAGGTTAAACTCAAGAGAACTTAAGTTTGACTAAGTCCATATTAGGTTGGACTTAGGCCAGGTCTTGGTTGGGCTAGAGTTGAACTAAGTCTACATTATGTTAGGCTTAAGAAGGTTGATGTCTAGGTCTAAGTTAATTTAGACTAAGTGATTTATATTTAAAAAAAATTATAAGCGCATTTTAATAAGGGATTTTATAGATTTTATATATATATATATATATATATATTAAAAATAATATATTATATTTGATGAATTAATATTAGTATTACAATTGAAGTAATTTAGCTAGCAAAGCTCAGTTTCCAGTGAATTCTCAACAGATGGCCGCGGGTGGAGCAGCTGCTACGGCTGCGCAGCACTGGAGAGCTCTGCTTGCTGCAGCCCTAGATTCTAATGCACATCTCAAGCATTCTACCTACTTCCAACTCGTACTCTTCCGGCATCCCCATCCCGCCCTTCGTTCCTTCTTCGTTCTTTCTTACAAAACCCTAGAGTTTAAGCCCCAAAGCTTTTCTCTTAGCTTATCGACTTATCTTTTAAATTTTTACTCTAGGCTACTGTCTCCGTTAATGGAAGGCCCGCAAATCGGACAGTGGTATTCAGGTCCTAATCGCGACATTTGTTGTTTTGCTTTTCCTCCTTTGTTTAAGGACTTGGTTGAGTTTTGCACTTCTTCATTCCTCCAATTTTGTTGCAGAGGGTTTCAGGAAGGCAGCGATAATATCTTGATTAATACGGATAGCCGAACTCGCAAGGTCCAATTGTTGTGTAATTTGTTTATTAAGGTTTTTTGTTTTTCTGTTGTTCTTTGTTTCCATTGTAGCACTACTTCAATTCATACTAACAAGGAAGTTTTCTACTGGAAACTATGCCACTTCCAACATCGTAGCAGATTGAAGAGATTAATCAGTTTCATTATGGTGAGGTAATGTGTTTCATAAGTTAGATGCTTTATTTTGGGCCTAATTCATTCTTACCAAGATGTATGATTTTTTTTTTTCTATAGATGTTTTATTAAATATTAACTATTAACCTAAGTGAATATTCAGCTTTTATCTAGCATAAGTATGAATAGATACTTCCATTGATGTGGGAGCACTGTTGGTGGTGCTTCTATAGGTTATCGACTCGGCCATGCCATATCTTTAGCTTATTCAAAGAATGTTTGTTTGACTTCTCTAGAATACGCACGGGCCTAACATATAGGATTAGCTATCTTATTTTATCCAAGTTTGAATTTTTATGAAGAGATTTGGCTATGTGACATCTTATTAAGAAGTTATATATTAGTGCTATATACCGGTGATATTAAGGGTGTGTTTTGTTCGGCTTAAGCTAAGCTTGGCCAAGTAATGGCATGCATAATTCTTTACCTTTTTTTTTGTGAACTCACACACGCATATTGTTATGGTATGACTCATTCATATTGAGACAGACGTTGGAACGAAGCGGAGCAAAGCGGAGCGGAAGAATCTGTCCAAATCGGCAAATTACGTTATGTGGGTTGGGGGTGTGGGGGCAACGCCCTGCGGCACGGTACAAAATGTTGTAATTACATATTATACTTAGGGTTTACTTATGGGTTATAAATAGGCCTGTTTGTAACCCCATGAGGTATCCCTGAATTTTGTAATTCTTTTCTGAATATTGAAAGGAATCGTTGCTCTGCTCCCGAGGACGTAGGCATCTTTCCCGAGGATGTTTACAGAATTATAATCTAGCAATAGATAGACAGAGACGCATCGATATAAGACCTCCTAGCAAATTAAGTTATGAAAACTTAGTCTCTTGTGCACTTCTCATCAGGAACGATGATCCAACCACTTTTCAAGGAGTTATCACTTGTCAGGAGAAAGAGAAATGAATGAGTGCAATGGTTGAGGAGATGGAGTCTTTGCAGAAAAATCGAACAAGGGAGCTAGTTCAGCTTCCTGAGGGAAAGAATACTATTGGGTGCAAGTGAGTGTACAAAAGGAAACTAGCAATATCAGAAAAAGAAGGGGAAAAGTTCAAGGCTCAACTGGTAGCAAAGTGATTTTCACAGCAGAAGGGGATATAGTATGATGAAATCTTTTTTTTTGTGGTCAGACATACTTTAATCAGGACAGTGCTTGCATTATTAGTGATTTGAGATTTGCATTTACAGTAGATGGATATTAAAACTGTTTTCTTGCATGGTGATTTGGAGGAGCAGATTTAGATAAAACAACTAGAAGGGTTCACTCAACCTGGACAGGAGCATCTGGTTTGCAGGTTAGAGAAATCGCTGTATGGGTTGAAACAGTCTCCAAGACAATGGTACAAGCGGTTTGACTCCTACATGATTCAGATTGACTACAAGAGATGCGAGAATGATTGTTGTGTTTATGTGAAGAGCCTTGATGATCGTTCTATTATTTTTCTGTTACTGTATGTTGATGATATACTGATTGCTGCGAAAAATTTGAATGATGTCGGTGGTTTGAAAGCTTATTGGGTCAGGAATTTGACATGAAAGACTTGGGGCATACGAAAAAGATTCTTGGAATAAAGATTCATCGAGACAGAGGCTGAAGACAATTAAGTCTATCTCAACGAGACTATGTTGAGAAAGTGCTGGACAAGTTTGAGAGGAGCGAAGCAAAGCCTGTAAGCACTCCTTTGGCAAATCATTTTAAGTTTTCTTCAGAACAGTGTCCTAAAACAGATACAGAAATCAAAAACATGGCAAAGGTTCCATATGTCAGTGCAGTTGGTTGCTTGATATATGCAATGGTATATGTTGCTTGATATATGCAATGGTATGTACTCGTCCTGATTTGGCTCATGTTGTTAGTCAAGTCTGCAAATACATGGCTGAACCTGGAAGGCGACATTGGGAGCAGTTAAGTGAATTTTCAGGTATCTGAAGGGTACTGTAGGACATAATATTATTTTTGACAGTCAGCAGAATGATCCTTCAATTGTGGGGTATGTTGATTTTGACTATACAGGTGATTTGGATGACAGAAGGTCTACAACTGGGTATGTGTTTACTCTTGGTGAAGGTCATATATGTTGGAAATCAACAATTCAGTCTATTGTGACATTATCTACAACTAAAGCTGAGTACATGGCAGTAGCTGAAGCTGCTAAAGAAGTCTTATGGCTTACTGGGCTAGTAAAGGAACTGGACGTTGAACAAGGTGGAATTCAGTTGCATTGTGACAGTCAGAGTGTTATTTATCTGGCTAAGAAGCAGATATACCATGCGAGAACCAAACACATTTATGTCAGATATCACAAGATCAAAGAATTGATTGTTTTTGGTGAGATATTGTTCCAGAATGTTCATATTGATGAAAATGCAGCTGATATATTGACCAAACCAGTTACTATCAACAAGTTCTTGCATTGTTTGGACGTGTTGAATGTGTGCAATTGCTAGAGAAGCATGGTGGCCCGACCCACAACGGTGCAAGTGTAACTCTCAGGTATCTTTTTCTCCTAAGGGGCTGGATATTCGCTAAGGTGGAGATTTGTTATGGTATGACTTATATACCATATAGGGATAGACGCTGGAACGAAGCGGATCTGAGAGGACGAAGCGGATCTGAGAGGAAGAATTTGTCCAAATCGGGAAGTTACGTTATGTGGGTTGGGGGTGCGGGGGCAACGCCCTGCGGTACGGTACATGGGTAATGTTATAATTACATATTGTACTTAGGGTTTACTCTTGAGGCTATAAATAGACCTGTTTGTAAACTCATGAAGTATCTCTGAATTCTGTAACCATTTTCTGAATATTGAAAGGAATTGCTGCTCTGCTCCCGAGGACGTAGGCATCTTTGCCGAACCTCGTTAAATTCGTTAAATCTTGAATCTTGGTGTTCTTCTGGATTTGTGTCGGTTACTGTTTTTCTTTGTCCTAATTTCTCAACATGTAGGTATATGCTAAGCCTTGAACTCAAGATTTGGTGGTTAGATATAAAACACCCATCCAACAAACTAAGTTGGTCGTACATTTTAATCCTTATGCAGGGTTAGGTCATTTGTCGGGCGAGAAAGATTATTTATTTTAAATTGAAAGGAACTGAGAAAATTCTTTTATTATATTTAGGTTTAATCTTTTTTCTCTAACTCATAATGATATTCAAAAGTTGCATAAGCATGAATTGATTTACCAAGGTCAACAAGCTTTGATAGTTGTGCAAGCATATACATCAAGGATTTCTAGAACTCGTGATGCTATGAGTGATAAAATGCTCTATTTTCTGCAATTGAGAATAATCTCTTTGTAACTTTTTTTATTCGTTTTAAAGATGCTTATAATCGATGTTTAAAGTGATGTAGTCAATACTTTATTGTATTGTTTTTCTAATTTTTTTTTTTTTTTTTTTTTTTTTTTGCAAAAAGGCATATTGCTATTCAATGCGACATCTGTTGAAATAATTTAAATGGTGAACATTGCAGGAGATAAATGGCTTGGGATTAATGGAACAAATGTTTGCTATATGATACATATTTTTTTTTGATTTGATACTAAATTTTATCAATAAATATTATTAAAAGGTAAAATGATATTTATGCATAATCTAATCTGTTGAAATACTTGAGTGTTTTTTATAGAAGACTAGGGAGATAAATAATGAATTAACTTTAATTAAGCAATTAAGTATTGTTAGCCGACCCCACTTAGTTGGATAAAGGCTTCTTGTTGTTGTTGTAATCAATTAAGTCTGCTTGGTTAAAATAGAGTGATTTAGTAGGAATCATATGTAAATGATAATATCAAGGAGCCTTATGCCTTATTCTATAAACTATAATTAGTTCATCTATGTTGTAAGCATTTGATTGTTTTAATAAATAAGTCATTGAATCACTAATAGCCAAATTATGAAATAAATGAAAATATTTAGATAAATTAGCAAAAAGAAATTATGGATTAATATATGGTTATTTTAGAGAAATTGTAGGAATAACATCAATTAAAGATAAGTTTATGGAAAATGTAATCAGGTGATTTACATATGTATATTGAAGTGTATAAAATATCCCATAAGAAGGATAAATAAATTTAAAATGGTGAGTTGAAGGAAAATGTAAACCAAAGGTAATATGGACAGAATTATGAAAAAGGTTTCTACAAAATAGTTTTAATGCTTTATACCACACTCAATTGGAATGGATGAGAAGCAAAAATTCATCAAACTGACCCCAAATAGTGACATGATACTAATGATGATGATAGGATGATGAAGGGTTCTCCTTTTTTTTTCTTTGGATATTGCAGATATGTTGGTATTTTACTGAGTCATGGGAGCAGTTTCGGATAAATGGGAGGATTGATGTAATTGACTCTTCTACTAGAGATCTTGCCAAACAACAGGTGACCATTAAACTAACTTCTTATTACCTCCTTCCTCGTTATTGCTGATACCCTATCGGGATTTTGTTATCTTTGAACTCTTGAAAGATTATAGCTAGTTTAAAAGTTCTTTGGAGACATTAGAAATAAATTGCCTTTCATGGCTAATCACATACTTTGTAGTAATCGTTATTTCTTTGTGGTTGTAAAATTTGTGTGGAAGTTGCTCGTGCCATTCATGCGTTGAACTGTTGTCTTAACAATCCGAAATTTGTTATTTTACCTTAATATATTTAAAATGCAAAAGCTAGTAAGTGTTTTTTTCTGGAAATCAACTATGCTCTGATTTAGGCAAAAGTATGGCTGTAAGGCGAGCTTATGGTTGTAAATGTTCACTAAATATCCAACAAAAGTGAAACCTTCATGAAAAATCTCTAAATTTAAGATGTAGGAATAATCTCGTATGCAGAACTTCAAGGTATCAGTATCCGTAGTCGGTACAACTGTAGCCAAGATAGCAGCAGACATACATAAGCAGTACATGACTTTGAGGTTAAGTTGGAGATCTTGTTCTGCTGTTTCTATTCTCTAAATTTTTATAGTGGAAATCTTCCTCTTCTTTGGTGGTGCAGCAACCATCCTAGATTATCCCCTTAGGGAAAATGTGTGGTTTATCTAAAGATTTGGCTTTTTATTTTAGATAACTAGTATTCAATTAGTTTGTTTGTTCAGAAGTCATTACTATTTTATGCCTCTGTCAGTTATCAGCATGAAATTTTGCCTATTATTTGAACTGTGGTTCCAAGATGAGTTTTTTGGAAAAAGCTTAGAAGAGGGTTCTAGGAGAAATTCTTTGGAAAGTTCTAGAAAAACAAAAGGGGTTGATATGACTTATATTCAAGTCAATAAAGATATTTATACTAGAACTGTTACTTGTGTTTTACAGAAGGAGGATTGACCTAGTATTTTTGTATTCTAGTTGAATTATATCAGGGATTGACTTTAAGACTATATCTTTTTGCTCTAGTTATGAATGCTCTTACTCGACATTTTCAGGAGGATGTACTTCGGTGTATGTTTTTCCTTGACGATATCCTTATTGTGGATGAGAATAAAGAAAGAGTTCAAGAAAAACTTGAATTATGGAGGTCTACATGGGAGTCTAAAGGACTTGGTTTGAGTAGATCTAAAATTGAATACATGGAATGTAACTTTAGTGGTAGTAGATTTAGTGACAGAGTTATAACTATAGGTGATCAAATCATTAAATGGTGTGAACACTTTAGATATTTTAGGGTCTATTGTTCAAGTGATGGCTATATAGATGGGGATGTTATTAGTAGAATTGAAGTTGGTTGGTTGAAGTGGAGGAATGCAGGAATGCATTAGGCCTATTGTGCGTGCGATAGAAAAGTACCACTTAAACTTAAAGGAAAATTTTATAAGATGGTGATGTGGAGTTGTAGCTGGACCGGTTCGTCCAGCGTATGGGTATCGGCCCAACAGAGAGGCTGGACCGGCGAGCCTTCTATTATGGCGGGAATTACCGCCCCTCCGCACTCCCACCTTCCTATTTCACTCCCTTCCAAAGGGAGGATCTCCTTCCTATTCTATTGCTTGCCTCTTCTATCCCTTTTCCTATTTATATTTTTTATTTCTTTCCAATTCCTATTCCTTCCTTTCCTAACTACTAGCAACTATTATATATGTGTTGTTTGAGTGCTTTAGGGATAGTTTTTTATCATTTCAGATTTCAATTTGCTGCTTTTGTAGTGTTCTTTCTTTTGAAGGGTTGTATCCAATAACGAGAAGGTGCTCCTACTGTAACTCATCCGAGGTGATGATCATTTCTAATGGTTCCAGAGGTGCTCTGATTGTAACTCGATCTCATGGGATACTTATCTTCCCCCAACTACCTATATTGTCCTTCCTCTTCCTTGTTGTCGCCTGCCATCTAGCCACAGTCTCATCACCGCCATCCCCCTTGTTCACCTTCCCTGCTGCTGTTCGCCACCTCCAGCAGCTATCCTACTACCGTCAACCCATCCTACTATTTCCAGGTTGCTATCCACTTTGTCGGGTGCTATCTTGACCACCACTGACTTCTTCCAGGTTGTTGTTCCCTCTTCTGGGCATTGTCCCGATCACCATCAGCCTCTTCCAGATCGTTGTCCATCGTACCTTGCACCTCCTAGCAGGCCATCCATCTTCCGTGCTCCCTCCAGCAGGCCGACAATCATGCTTGGCCTTCCTACAGGCCGCCAACCACTTGTTGCTCCTCCAACATCGCCGCCACCTGTTGCTCCTCCAGCACCACGGCCACTTGCTCTCGCTACCGACCAGCTTTATAGCAGCTTCCTTTCAGCCTTTCGGATCTGCTGCCCTCTTTTAGAGGGGCTCGTTCTGTCTTTTATGATGTATTCTTTTTCTTATTTGACAGTCGTCATTGTTGCTTACTGTTTGTATGTTCTTGTATTGTTTTTGGTTGAAGAGTCGTCTTGTACTTTCTTTGATTTGGCATTTGGTTGTGATTTGGGTTAACTCCAATATCAAATGGTGGTGAGTTCTGCAATGCTTTATGACGCTGAATGTTGGTCTTTAAAGGAGAAGCATAAAACGAAGTTAAGTGTTGCTGCGATGAGAATGCTTAGGTGGATTAGTGGCTTGACAGTTAGAGACAAAATGCGAACGGAATGTTTCTGTGAAAGTGTTGGAGTAGCTTCAGTGGCATAAAAGATTAGAGAGAGTTGCTTAGATGGTTTGGTCACATTAAGCAATGATCATCTAATGATCCGGTCAGGAGAGTAATTGTTTTAGATTCAACTTAAGTTAAGAAAGGCAGAGGTAGACCTAAAAAAACTTCGACATATTGTATAAAAAATGATCTTAATTTATTAGAATTAAATGAAAATATGACACTCAATAAGACAATGAAGAAAAGGATTCATGTAGTCGGACTCACTTAATGGGATAAAGGCTTGTAGTTATTGTTGTGAACTGCAGTTTGAAATTTCTTTATACAGCTGAATATTTTGTTCATGCTCCCTTGCCGTCCTCAGGATGCCATCCAATTCATTGATCTCCCACTTCTCTGCTGATATAGAAAGTTATTATTTATCTGCAGACTGTTCTTCAGTCACCAGTAGTTATATATTTAAACCATCATTGTTTACGCAGCAAAGAAAGGAATCTTGGTTTGCAAGCTCTCTCAAGTCAAGGTTGCAGTACTTGAGGCCTGTTCCTCGTCTTCCAGTTCTCGAGGAATCTAGCGAAGATTATCAACTTGATCCCTCTATCGGGCCACTTGATTCATTTTGTCTTCTGGTTTTTAACCCAGAGCAGGTTAGCTTTCCTTCACTACTAATCTTTTCATTGCCTTCTTAATTTATTGCTGTAGAATTAGTTTTGCATCTCTTTAATCACTTACCATTGTTTTCTGCCCCAGACCCCTAATAAACTCTTCTAAACCACTTTAGTTCATTTGCCCCTTCTTGTCCGTTTTCAGGATGGCTTGATGACAATGCAAAAATAGAGTTTTGATTTCTAAGAAAATATTTTTTTTAAAGTAGCTTTTACCATCAATCCGAGCTTTTACAAGTTTACAATTATTGAGTACAATCTTAGGTTCCCTGTGCAATTGATTCAGGTTGATTATGTGAACTTGAAAAGAAATGTGAGGTTCCTATTCACTTCAAGTCGTAGCAGTGATCAGTCTAATAATGCTTGGCAGATAGAGAAAGTTAACCCATAATAAGGATCAAAACTGTTAGCATTTGTGGAGTTTTGGCTGTGACTAAATGCAAATAAATGGCTCTTTTTTGCCTTATATTTGTACTTTAGCTGTGTTTTATTTCTAAATGCTGCTGTTCCAGTTAGTTCCATTCCAAAGTTTCTACTTAAAACGTTATTTTGCTGTTTTGTTATTGATGTACCTTTTAATTTTATAGTTTTGGTTTAATGCTTGTTACAGGATGCAAATAATTCTTGGGTTTAATGTTTATAGAATTTCTCTATGTTAAGCATGTCATTAGTATTTTATATTGCTGATGAAATTACCATATTGTTATGCAATCACATATTTTAAATAATTTCATGATATTTATGTTAATGAAATCTTAAGATTGTATAATATTATGTTTATTTTGAAGTGGACTTAGGGTCTGTCTGGGGCAGCTTGTGCGTTTCAGGATAAACAACTTATCCTGAAATGCGGCCCGCAGGTCAACTACGGGGGTCGACCCACGACTTGCGTTTAGTGTAAAAAATCCAAACGCATAAAAAATCCAAATGCGGCAGACAGCGTTTTCAAAAACGCGCAAACCAAATGGTTAGGCTGTGTTTTCAAAAGCGCAGCCGCACTTATAAGCTGCCCCAAACGGGCCCTTACTCATCTCATTTGGAGATGTGTTATTGTAAGGTAATTCATAATAAAGTATAGTAATGTTTGATATTTTTGTCGGCTTATGTTAATAATATTATCATAAATAAGGAAAAGTCTATGAGAGGTCATATTATGTGAAATAGGGTGATGTATGACTTTGTTGCTTGGGGGACGGACATGGCACGGTACGGGCACGAGACATGTCTATTATTGAAAATATAGGATACGGATATTTGAGTTCATAACATTAACTTTTAAAAGCTAAGATGTCATAGATATATCTTTAATTTATGACGTACAAAATGCAAGCATAATAATTTAAATTATCTTGTTTTACATCAAAATTTAATTTCCTTAATTCATTAAAAAAAAAAATAAAGAATAGCTAGCTTCTTTGACATGTACTTCTATTTCATAGTTCGCGTCAACTATGATTATCATTAAATATCAGAGATTTCAAACTCTTGCTCATTAAGAGAGCTTTACAATCTCCAAATTTCTCTGAGGGTCTTAAATCCATCTCCTGCAACAACCCGCATCTTAAAAGCTAAAACATAAAGCCTAATAAACAAGTAATAAATTAATAATGCATCCTGTATTTTAATGAGGATAAGTGGTATTTACTCTAAATTTTGGGGTATTTACGTACAAACCATCGAACTCTTATGTATTTACATAATCTTACCCCTAAAATTTTATTTTTACATTTATTTCACCTAAATATATAAATCAGATCAAATGAAATACTTCTTTTTAATTTTTATACATAAGTAAGGCGGCATACATGAGAAAAATAAAAGTTTTGGTGTTAGATACGTAAATACATAAGAATTAAGTTGTATGTATGCAAATCATTCATAAATTTTACATTTTTTTTAATTTTAATCTTAAAAGTATTTTTTTTTAATTTTAATTTTAAACTAAAGATCATTCATAAATTTTACATTTATTTCACTTTATATATATCTTAGAATGCTTTCTAGAGATAAGATATTTGTAAAAACATTGTTATTGACATGATATTTAAAGTAAGAAATTATTGTTAGGATTAATTATAATACATATATGATTTTTAATATGATTTTTTTATAATTTTTAGAATAATGTGGTTTGCTCAATAATTTGCTACTATTTGATATGTGATGAAGAGAGTTATGAAATCATTTTATTTTTTCTATGATAAGAATGTTGTCTTCTTTCTCAACAAGATTAACAAAAAAACAAGAAGAAGTTGTCATCCCACTAAGTGGGGTCAGCTAGATGATTCCTTTTTCTTTTTACCCTATTGCCATATGTTCATGTAATTCTAATAAATTAACATCATTTTTTTATACAACATGCCCAAGTCTTTATAGGTTTATCTCTACTTTTCTTATTATAAGTCGAATATAAAATATATATTCTCCTAACCGGGTCATGAGATGGTTGATGTTTAATGTGACCAAACCATCTAAAGCAACTCTCTCTAGTCTTATCTACTACAGAAGCTACTCCAACTCTTCACAAATATATTCATTTTTTTCATTTTGTCTCTCAAGTATAAAGCCACTCATCCACCTGAGCGTTCTCATCTCAAAAACACTTACCTCTTTTATAAGCCAACATTCTGCACCATAAAGAATTGCAGGTTTCGCTATCTTATAAAATTTTCCAATAAGCGGTACTTTTATATCACACAATAGGCCCAATGCATTCGTCCACCTCAACAATCTAACTTGAATTCGACTAATGACTTCCCCATCTATATTACCATCACTTTGAATAATAGACCTGACATGTCTGAAATATTCATTCTTTTTAATGATTTAATCACTTATTATTGCAATCCCATTATTGGATTTACTTATACTGAATATACATTCCATGTATTCATTTCTAGATATACTCAAACTAAAACTACATCTTATAAAATTTTAGTATCTAAAGTTAACCTCCATAATTCAAGTTATTTATGAACTCTCTCTAGCGAAAATTATCCACTAAGAAACATTGTCCTATAAATATCCATTAAAAACATCCATAACAAAAGGAAAAGATATAAGCTTAAAGTAGACCCTGGTGTAATCCAACTGAGACAGAAAAAAATACTTAATCAATTCTCCTTGTGTTCGAACACAAATAATTGTCCTTGTATACTTATCTTTAATGACTTGAATATAAGCAATATCAACACATTTTTTGTTTAGAACATTCCAAAGTATCTTGGAATCTTATCATAATTGTTTTTTAAATCAACAAAATTCATATGTTGATCCTCCTTTCTCTATACTTCTTCATAAAACTTCTCAATAAATATATAGCTTCCATGGCAGACTTTCCCGACATGGATACAAATTGATTTTTTTTTAATTTTTGGACCGCATCACAGCCTGTGAAAGTAATTTAATTAATACTGCAACTGCATTTTATTTTATTGAGAATAAAGATGAATGTATGAGAGTTGAATAAAGTGAAAATTAAAATTAAATATTTATTACCAATAAATATTGATTTATTTTATCAATTGGAATGTGTTATTATGTTCTTTTTCAGATCTGATTTAATAATTACATTTAGATTAATAAACACACATGTAGTTTTTTATTAATTTAATGAATCAAAATTTTTAAGTTATATATTAATCATTTAATGATTATATTCATTGATGATATTTTGATCTATTTAAGGTTGATGAAGATCATGTTGAATATTTGCGAATAATTTTAGAACTGTTGAGAGAGAATTCATTATTTTTAAGATTTTTAAAATCTTCTTTCAATATGAAAAATGTTATCTTCTTAGGTTATATAATAAGTGGTGAGGATATATATATGTCTGTTGGCAGAGCAGCCTCTTTAAAGGTCGTAAGTTCCCCTCATGTCTCGGGTTTGAATCCCCCCGTGTGTAGGGTGTAGTACTCGAATTATTTACACACCGCATCGGCACCTAGACCTAGTGGTGGTTAGTGCAAAGGAGTTGATCGGCGATTCCAGCGGATCAATCTAACAATAAAAGAAATATATATATATATATATATAGTGATATTACAATGACTTCCACCAAACAATATCATAGAAGCTCTTAATTTTTTTTTATTTAGCTCAATATTATAAGAGATTTGTAAAGAAATACTTACAAATGGCCTTGTCTTTATTAAGTTGATGAGAAAAAGATATTAAATTTTAATTGAAAAAGAATTTAAGAACATTTTTCAAAATTTGAAAAGATATATAACAATTGCATCATCATTAGTTATTCCATTAGGAATTGTGTGATTTCTAATTGCACAAAAATGCATCATTGAAAGGATTAAGATGTCTTTTAATATGAAATAAAGAGTTATGCATTAAGGGGGTTGAAATCTACCAAGAAATTATCTGAATAATGACTTTAAATTGATAGCTAGAGCAATTGCTTTAAGAATTTAGAGATGGCACTTGTATGGGGTGAAATGTGAAAGGTTCACTAATCAATACTGTAAAGAGACATTTACGTACATACCACTAAATTCCTTTGTATTTATACGACACAAATCATTTGTATCATTAGACATTAGACGGAGCTTAGAGTAGTCAACCAACTATTAAGAAGTGTTTAATTTAGCCGTTGAGTTTGAAAATTCTCCAATTTAGTTTCTGTTATTAAAAATTGTTCTGAATTGTTCCTAAATAATTTTTTTCTTTTCATTTAACGGCTCCTTTCACATATTGAAGGATAATTCCGTCTATTTATAAAATTCATGAATTAAACATAAGGAGGGTTCGTCGATTCTCACTGGAGGATTCATACACGCAAGAGTTTCGCCTTAAACCTAAATCTTCGTTGCTCTTCTACTCGTGCGGCTTCTACCCTTCTATTTTACCATTGACGAAGCAAGAAACTCAATGAGCATACTCATTCACTGCTTCTCCACTAGACGAAGCAGTTTTTGTCCCTGTCTTCATCCGTGTTGCTTGCGTCGACGACAAGGCTTTGTCTCCATCCTAGCCTTGCTTCTCCCCTTCTGTTTTATCATCGACAAAGCAAGCAACTCTAGGCGAGTACTCATTCACCGCTTCTCCAGTCAACAGAACATTCTTTGTCTCCAGCTCCATCCGCGTTGCTTGCGTCGGCGACAAGGCTTCATCTCCATCCGAGTGCTTGTAGATCCCCATTAGTGATCGTTCATTGGAAAGAGAGGTGGCTTCGAACTGTGACGGTTTGGCCCAGAGAAGCTCAAGTCCAGCGAGGTAAATACGACACAGTAAGTTTGCGGAAAAGAGTAATTCATCGAAGAAGAAAAATATAATATATGAGGCAAAATAAATTATTTAATCAGATTTAAAAGCAAAAAATGATAGAGAAATGAGATTTCAGATTTTGTGATATTTGGCTTTAATCATATTTGAGCAGCAATTAATTAGGTATTAAGCAAAATTTAGCCTAAATCTAGTTATGCTGGATATATTTAAAAATACGTACATAAATGATAAAAACATCCTTCAATTCTTGTAGGCCGCCTTTAAATTTAACAGAAAATATGATTTAACACTATTTCGAGCAACTTTTAATAGTCACAGATTGATTTGGAGTATCCTAAAATTCTGAGATTGATACTTCGTAATAGCG